ATACGGCGCTTCTTATCATCAAAAAGTCATATGCACATGTGACATTCTCCAAGATAGATCACATGCAAAACATACCTCTACAAAATCAAGAGCATGGAAATCAAATCAACTATCTTCTCTGATCATGATGCACTGAAACAAACAAAAACAACTCCAACGCCTGGAAATTAAATAGCTTGTTACTGAACAGTGGGTCAGAGAGGAAATCTTAAAATTGCTGGAAACATGAAAATGAAGGCACTACCTATCAGAACTTATAGGATACAGCAAAAGTGGTGTTAAGAGGAGAACTCACTGCTATGCACGTATTCATCAGGAAGGGAGAAAAGGCCCGCATTAATAGTTTGACTGTGCAACTAAAGAAACTGGAAAATGACCAACAAAAGGAGCCCAAAGCAGGCAGGAGAAAGGAGATAATAAACTTAAGAGCAGAAATTAATGAACTGGACTCCAAAAAGAACAATCCAAAAGATCAATGAAACCAAGAGTTGGTCCTTTGAAAAAATAAACAAGATCGATAAACTACTTAAGCAAGACTCACAGAGAGAGACAGAGAGACAAAGACAAAGACAGAGAGACAAAGACAAAGACAGAGAGAAAGAGAGAGAGAGAACCCTAATAAACCAAATCAGAAAAGAAAGTAGGGACATCACAACAGACACCACAGAAATTACTTTGAGAATCTTTATGCCACAAAACAAGAGAACCTAAATGAAATGGACAAATTCTTGGATTCCTATAACCTACCAAGGCTGAACCAAGATGATTTGAAATACCTGAAAGACCTATCACTATCAAGAAAATTGAAATGGTAAAGGTCTTCACAAACACAAAAGCCTAGGCCCATATGGATTCACTCGTTAGTTCTTTCAAACCTTTGAAGAGGACCTACTGCCAATTCTTTTCAGGCTCTTCCAGGAAACTGAAGAAACAGAAATACTCTCAGTTTCTATGAAGCAAATATTTTACCCTGATACCAAAAGCAAACAGAGACACCACAAAAAAAAAAAAGTGGAGGGGGACAAAAAACACAGGTCAAAATCCTTGATGAACACAGATGCAAAGATCCTCAACAAAATACAAGTAAACAGAATTCAACAATTTGTCAAAAAGATCATACACCATGACCAAGTAGGATTCACCCTGGGGATGCAGGGATGGTTTGATATACTAAATTCAATCAACATAATACACCATATCAATTAAAGGAAAAATAAAAATGCTATGATCATGTCAATAGATCAAAGAAAGCATGTGACAAAATCTAGCACCAATTCATGATTTAAAAATAAAACAAACCAAAAAATCCCTCCTAACAAAATAGGAATTAAAGGAACTTCCCTCAATGTAGTCAAAGCCATTTACACACACACACACACACACACACACACACACACACACACACACACACGATGAATAGCTAAAGCAATCCTTGAGTAAAAGAAGAGGAGAGGCATCACTTTCTTCAACTTCTAACTATAATGCAAAGTAGTAGCAATTAAAATAGCATGGTATTGGAATAAAGACAAACCCTCAGATCAATGGTATAGAGTTGAATATCCTGAGACAGACCCTTATGATCATTTAATCTTTGATAAAGGGGCAAAAATATAAAGTAGAGCAAGGAAAGCCTCTTCAAAAATCCTTGGCTTTCCTTTCCAGTATATTTCCAGAGCATCATTCTAGATGAGCTCCCAAAATGAAGGCTACTCCAAAAAAAACACCAAATTTATCTAAGCTCAAACCAAACTCTACAGCTTACCACTGCACTCAGCAATGAGTGCTGTCTACTTTCCTCGGTACAAACTGATCACCTTTGTTAGTGATCTTTTGATCACTTGCTACAGTGACTCGCCACAGAAGCTCCACTTTCACAGGATTTCTTTGTTCTCACAAAAGTGTCACACCTACTAAATCAAATAACCCATCTGCTAGGGCCCTACGGAAATCAGATTAGTTCACTGGAGCTGGAATGTTACTAAAGAAAACTGGCAAGGCAGGGGTAGGGGAAAGTCCAGTTCTTGATCAGATCAGATGAAGACAAATCGAAACTCTGGCCCAAGTAATAAATGGTCTTAAAACCCAACTAAAGAATCTATTGTCCAGAGAATTTCCACTGATTGCAAAATATACCTGTACTTCTGGTTTTTCCCAAGCTTCTTTTTTCTAAATTTAGAGATGATTTTATCTGCTCAATGTGCAAGACAATGTGTGGAAAGATATAAAATGATGACTCAGAGTCTCTGCCCTTGGATTCTGAGGTCTAAGGAGGCCTAAAATATAGTACATAGGTTTAGGTGCTGGTGTTACCTGATCCCTAGCACCCTCCTGTGGTCTCCCCCAAACATCGCCAGGAGTGATCCCTGTGCAGAGCCAGAATTAAAACCTGAGCACTGCCCAATGGGGCCTAGAAACTAACAAAAAAAATCTAAGTTCTAAGAAGAAATTTTATATATATATATACGCACACATACACACACACTCATCAAGAGACTTAAAAACATGAGGACAAATAAGTCATCAATTCAAAACACATTACTACAGGATATTTAAAATATTTCATTGGTTTTGAAGAAAGATATTAAAAGAATACCGGTTGCTGAAAGTGCCTGCCACTAGCTTCAAGTCAAAGAAGGCTGCATAGGAATAAACAGAAAGTCTCAATATTAAAACAGCAATTCTATAAGGGAGAAAGCTGCTGAGTACTCAGTATACAAAATTAATTTTTAAAAGCCATGACTTTATTTGAACAAATTATCTGATTTTTAAAAATAGTTTTATTGAAAGAAATCTAGAGAAATGTGAGGTTGAGATTGAGAGAAATAAAAGTGTTCAAGAGAGAACACGAGTTTTTCCAGAGGGGGAAAAAGCCTATTCACCTATTTTTAATCATAAATGAACCCTAAATATTCTAGTTATCATGTCTGCTGGCTTGTTTTGAAATTATTTCAGTTCACCCCCTCAACTATACAAAGACTGTGATAAAGTTGAGATACTCTTAATTTTGTTTCACAAAGATTCCCCCTGCATTTTGGAGAGATAAAAGGATTTTAAGATCTAGGCCACCACATGGAAATTACAAAAAAAAAAAAGTGTATGTTGGGTGGGGAAGGTGGGTGGGCACCTAGCAGTGCTCAGGGTTGTTTACTCCTGGCTCTGCACTCAGGGATCACTCATGGTGGGCTTGGGAGACGATATGTTGTACCAGGGATTGAACCTGGTTGGCAGCATGCAAGGCAACTGCCTTACCTATCATTCTGGCTCCAAAATTACATCGTAATCTTTTCTTCTGTGCTTAACTCCTTAAAAAAAAAAAAAGACTCCAAAAATCCGAGGTAAACTGAACTCAACAATATTTTACTTTATGACACTATGAACGTATTATCCCAATATTCTAGTTTGACTTTATTTAATTAAACATGTCTTTCTTCTGGGATTAAATCCTTTCAATGACAGTGTTATATCCTTTGACTTTATACTATTGAGTCAATGAGTTATTAGTCAATTGTTATTGGTCAATTATAGCATTTTCTTAAATGACATTATCATTTGTCTTAGTTACAAATTACTAAATTTCATCTTTAAAGAAACACTTGATCTGGGTATGATTTCCTAAGGCAGTCAGACTCTTGTGTAACGATTTCAAAAGTCCACAAACAAGTTTTCTGAATCTGATAATTAAGAACTTGGGCAAGTCAACAGTGATTAAAATTTAGATTATAATCAAGACAAGGATTGCACTTGCTTTGGCAAAGACTATCAAAAAAACACTAAGCAATACTTTAAAGTATTATAATTTTAACAGATATCTCACATCATAGGCAAAGCACTTGTTATTTCCAGTCCTACTTCAGTTGTTTTCTTAATACCTAAGTGGCTGTCCCAAAATTTTAATTTATGTTTCATATTAAAGTTGTTCTATTGTTTGTTTTTATTGAATTCAGAGAACTTACTATTCGTGGATCCTGAGCCTAGTCTGAAAGCAAACCCTTGATCACTCCAAAACTTAAATTGTCTGGACCCTCAAATATAACATCAAAATCAATAATCGTATCAGAACCAGTTATCCCTCAGTTAAAAATTAAAATAATAAAAAATCAGAAAGGAAGCAGATATTCTGGTGTAGTGCTGGGATGTTTTACAATACTGTAAACCACGGCGCCTAAAGTAAACTTTATTTTTATAGTAATAATAAATAATAAAAGAAAGTCAACCTCTAATCCCATCAGCAAGTGCAAAACTCCCCTGCAAAACTTTCCCAATGTCCCAGACCCGACCTTTGTCCTCTATCGATCTTTTTAAAACCCTCCCCCAGACTGGCACAGGGCCAGGTGCTTGGCTCACTCTTTGTGTAAGAGTTTTTCCTACAAACGTCCCTTCTGCAAAAAAAAAAAAAGTTTCTTTCCCATCTCTCCGTGTCGAGGAGTTGCCGGTTCTGCGGGAGCATAAAGGTCTTGCTGCTGCTAACCCATGAGGACTCTAGGAACAAATCTGGCCAGGAGTTGTAAAAAAAAAAAAATTCTATTTATTTTCCTTTGTGCAAAGCAGATGAACTAGGTGGAACCACACAATCCCTCGGACCGGTGGTGAGATTCCAAAGAAGAGAATCCCAGGTCCACTTTCTCCACCCTCCCAAGTCCACACAATCCTTGACGCCCGTAGGCAGAGCGAGCCAAAAACTTTCTTTTTTCTTTTTTTTTAACTCATAATAAAACACTGGCCAGGGACGGGCCGCCGGGATGGGCACCCCCCGGGAACTATTGGGCCCATCGGCACCCCCCGTTCACCCACTCCCGGGAGCTCAGATCCAGGGTCGCCAGCGAGGGCGCGGAGGTCCTCGAGCAGGGCCCAGCAATTTCGGGATGTGCATCACAAACAAAAACTCTGCCTGCGTTGTAGGGGGGGAGCCGGGGTCGCAGCGGGGCGCGGGGGCGCCCGCGGGAAGGAGGCGGGGAGGGGAGCGGCGTCGCGGGGTGCGGGGAGAGGCAGGCCGCACTCACCTGCCCATTCTCCGAGCTTGGGTCCGATCCCCGCCTCGTGGTCCAGAGCCCAGAGCCGCAGGGCCGAGAAGAGCGAGCACGAGACGCGCAGCGCCAGGTAGGCCACGGTGCCGGCGCCCACCCAGTACAGGAAACCCGCGGCAGGGAGAGTAACTTCCATGGCTTTTTCACCCGGCCTCACCACCTCAGAGAATGAAGAGTGGGGAGGAGGAGTGAGGGTGGGGGTGGTTTTTAAAAAAAAAATGAATGAATGAATTCAGGAAGAGACGCCGGCCGTGACGGCAAAGACGACACTAATATGCGCTGCTCCGACAGCAGCTCCGGGCCTAAGTCCCGCCCCCGGCGCCATCGCCGTGCTCTCATTGGTGAGCTCTGCGGAGAGCGACCCATCCATTGGCTCGTTCCCGGTTCCGCGGCCCCGCCCCCCACGCCGCCGCGCCTCGCGCACACCGCCCGGCTTGGCTTTTCCGTTCTCCGGCGGTTCACTGCCGGGCTGCCAATCAAGGTCAAGGCCCGCCCGAGGCGTGGCCACGCCCCCAGGAGGCTCACCCCACCGCGTCGCGCGCGGCGCTCATTGGCTGCGGCTGCCCTCGCGACTGGAGCAGGCTGCGCCTGCGATTGGTCGCCCACATCCAGTCGGCTGAGCAGCCAGGGATGAATGGGGAGATAGTAGTAGTGAGAAGTGAGAGTGCCACGGCGGCTGTCATTGGCACTTCGGCCTCGTCGTCCAATGGGCTGTCACGCTCCCCATAAACTTTTCGGAACACAAGCTGGCCGTGTCCGCTTTCTGTGTCTCCGTCATCCCGGCTGAGCGCTGAATGTTAAGAACAATCTCAGAAAGCCAAGGGAAACGACTTCAGCGTGGAATAACCATAAGACACTTAGGCAGAGAGTTACAATAAGATGGAATTTTTTTTTTTTTATGCAGAAACAGCTTCATGGACAAGTCGTTTTGAGAGAAGACTCGTGTGTTTTAACTGTATTTTAAAAGACAACAATTAATTTTCTTTTCTTTCTTTTTAATTTCCTGGAGGGGAGCGGAGGACGGAGGGCGAGTGGGAAGAGCGGATGAAGATGAAGGTGGAATTGCAAAGGAGAGTAGAAGCGTGCATGTAAACTACTTCAACATAGAGTATATTTTTAAAAATCGTGTCATGAAATAAAATGCTTTATGCTTATTCTGTTCCTCCCTTCAAGAGTTTCTTTTACTGGCATGGGTTTGGGTTTATTACCTAAATTTTCTATTCTTAGCCACGTGGGGCTACTGATCAAAGAATTGAGAGGTTTTGTAAGGGAGGAATTTAAGTAAAATAATGCAAAGCAATTTCAACATGTTTTGAAACTCAGTCATACTCTTATCATATTTGCACCTTATCTCTTCTTGCTCAACATCCCCTTCTTCTTTCTCCATTCTTATTAGATTAATGAGGTGTACTATCGGTCCAGCCCCATCAACTTCGTATCTTATCTGACTTCACCTAAGATCTACTCCTTACACTTAGGTATGCACTAAATACCACTGTGTGAGTGATGAACGAATCCATGAAAAAATTCTATTGAGAGGAATTATTTGATTCACATTATTGACAAATACGATTTCAATTATTGACAAAGAAGAAAGCTTAGGGGGGTAAATGCCCAGGTCCAGAGAGACAAGTATAGGGATTGAGGCACTTAACTTGCATGCATCCAACCTTGGTTTGATCCCCAGAATTACATATGGACCCCTGAGCATAGAGTTTGGACTAACCCCTGAGCACTGTTTGGTATGGCTAAATCAACCCACCCACTAAGGGACCTAAGTTAAATAGGAAGAGAGTGTTTGTAAAGAAAGATGTTTTGCTACAGAAGAAACCATGAGCTGGGATGTAAGAATAAATAAAAATTGGATGGGGGTGGGGATGGCTGAGGTGGTAGAATTCAGTGGTAGTGCACGTGTTTTGGAGGTAAAAGTTACTGTGTTCAATTCCCAGCCACCAAAAAAAAAAAAATCTGGATAAGAGTGAGAATAGAGAAAAACCAAGCACCCAACATTGGTTGAAGAATGCACAGGTGCCTCTAGCACTTACCATGCACTGTAACACTGTAGCACTGTCCTCCCATTCATCAAGTGGACCCAGTAACATCTCCATTGTGAGACTTGTTACTGTGTTTGGCATATCGAATACCTCACGGGGAGCTTGCCAGGCTTTGCCGTGCGGGCGAGATACTCTCGGTAGCTTGCCAGGCTCTCAGAGAGGGGCGGAGGAATCGAACCTGGGTCAGCCGGGTTGTCCACATGCAAGGCAAATGCCCTACCAATGTGCTATCGCTTACCATGCATCTAATATAAAATTAAACACAGAATACAGAATAATCGTTGATTTTGGATTTTTTAAAATAATTATGAATAGGTAAATGCAAATAAATGAAATTCCCATTGCTGTTAAAATTCCTACTTAGAGTCTGGAGTGATAGCACAGCAGGTAGGGCATTTTCCCTGCACGCAGCCGACCCAAGTTCGATTCCCAACATCCCATATGATGCCCTGAGCACCGCCAGGAGTAATTCCTGAGTGCATGAGCCAGGAGTAATCCCTTTGCATCACCAGGTGTTACAAACAAAAAATTTCTACTTAGCATGTTAGCTCAACTAAAAGATTAGTAAGGACTGATGCAATGTCATTTTGGTGTTCATTCTTTTTCTACAAAGTGTGAGCACTCTTAAAGTTTACTAGGATAACCTTTATTTCTGAAAAGAAAACACTTATTCTGATAGTTCAACCTCTTTTTAAGAATATAAATTGTTTTATTAAATAAAGAAAAATAGGGACTGGAGCAATAGTACAGTGGATAAGGTACTTGATGTGGCTGACCTGGGTTTGATCCCCAGCACTTCATGTAATCCTCCCAACCTTGCCAGGAGTAATTCCTGAGCACTGCTGGGTATGCCCCACCCCCCAAAAAAAGAAAGAAAAAGATTATTAGTCAAAATAATCAAGAGTTGGGGCTGGAGCAACAGTCCAGCAGATAGGGCATTTAACTTGCACATAGTGGACCCAGGTTCGATCCCCAGTATTCCATATGGTCCTCCAAGCATCACCAGGAGTAATTCCTGAGTGCAGAGCCAGGAGTAACCCCTGAGCATCGCCAGGTATGATCCAAAAAAAAAAAAAAAAGAATTGGGGCTGGAGTGATAGTACAGTGGGTAGGGCATTTGCCTTGCACGCAGCCAACCCAGGTTGGGTTCCCAGCATCCCATATGGTCCCCGAAGCACCGCCAGGAGTAATTCCTGAGTGCAAAGCCAGGAGTAACCCCTGAGCATCTCTGGGTGTGACCCAAAAAGCAAAAAAGAAAAAAAAATCAAGAATTATGTTGCCAGATTTCTACATTGTTGGAACTGAACAAAAATCCTTTGTCTTTGAATAAAGTTTAGGAACCACTGAAAGCTTGAATGCAGGGAGGAATCTGTAATAACAATTTACTCTCTTCAGCTATGTTCTGTGCTAAAATTCAGCACATGGACCAGAGTTCCTAAAGGTTGGAAGAATCATACTAAGACCTTTCCAAACAGGAAAAAACTCTGCATAACCATGATTAGGATGTCAGACAAATCTCAGCCTAGATCCTGAATCCACCTCTCATTAACTCTAGGATCTTGTATGTGAACTTAACAAAGAAGCATTCAAATTCTATATCAGCAAAATGGGATTAATACTACTGAACTGATTAGCAGTGACTTGGTACATAGATACTCAGTATTCAGTGAAGTAGACACTACTTTCATTCCATTTTATAGATGAGGAAACTGAAGATTATGCCACTTAAATACATTTTTTATGGACACACAACAGAAAATGAACTAAAGGGTATTATTAGGAGCTGAATGTCAAGGACGTGATTAGAGATGGAAGCACTAGAAAATGCTGCCAAGGATGAATAAGAGTCTAGAGATATCTGTCTTATAAATAACACAGAAACAAACACATTGGATTTCAGTCTTCTTTATTTAAAGAACTTAAAGTTCATAGTAGTTGTTAATATGGAAAAACATACAATGACAATAGTGCATCATATTAGCAGTTAAGTGTTTCCATTTAATTTTCCATTTATTTCAGTACTTCAATAAATTGAGTTTCAGATCAGATTTTCTGTGTGTTGAAATCATTAATGGTCAGGAATAGTTGGACACAATGAAAGAAAATTCCATAATTAAGGAATTTATTTCACAGTAGCTCAGAATTTTGGGGAGCTGACCAACAAGCTGAATTCCATATTTTTAACAATACTATTTTCTTCTATTTCATCTTCATTTACATTTGGATCAAAATATTGAACTTCATCTCTCCAAGTTCAGTTGTGAAGGTTTTCAGTCCTGGAATTTAAACAAAAGAAAAAGTTACATGGAGACTAAGTCAAGTTAAAAAGTGGAATTTCTTTTTTTTTTCCCCAAATTTTATTTCATTTAATTTTTTTAAAAAATTAATCATAGTGAGATACACAATTACAAAGTTGTTCATTGTTTGGTTTAAGACATACAATGTTCCAACACCCATTCCTTCTCCAGTGTACATATCCCACCATCAATGTCCCCAGTTTCTCTCCTGCCTCCACCCCCCCATGGAAGGCAGTTCTCTCTCTCTCTCTCTCTCTCTCTCTCTCTCACACACACACACACACACACACACACACGTGCGCGCACACATAGAATTTCTAATGTTAGAAATTGGCTTTCCGAAAAATTACTATTTGATCTTTTTTTCTTTTTGGGTCACACCCAGCGATGTACAGGTGTTACTCCTGGCTCTACACTCAGGTATTAATCTTGGCAGTGCTCAGGAAACCATATGGGATGCTGGGACTTGAACCTGGGTCAGCACATGCAAGGCAAACGCCCTACCTGCTGTGGTATCGCTCCAGACCACAATTTGATTTCTTTCATTGAAAATATTGCATTATCATTGTCAAAGGGATTTCAAATACATGGTCATACTCAAACGCCACTATAATGGCCCTGTTTCCTTGGACAGAATATATGCCCTTTAAGATGGACTCCTGCCCAAGAATCATTCTGGTGATGGGCCTGGTTCTATGAAACCAGTGTGTCTGCTATTAAACCGAAGTCTCCTCCTCTCCTCTCCCTTACTCTGTCAGAGAATTTTTGTTTTGAGTTGTGTTTTTGAGTCACACCCCGCTATGTTTAGAACTTACTCTTGGCTCTACACTCAGGGATCACTCCTGGCAGGGCTCAGGGTACCATATGTGGTACCGGGGAT